TCATGAAAAAGTGGTCGGAAAAATAGAAAAAATTAGGCTAGGAAATTCCTGTGATGTGATAGCTCAATTCTGACACCGGATTCGTGATCAGGAGGCAAAAATACTGCGGATAACATATTATGTCGCATGAAAAGTACAGACTTTTTTTTGTGGCTGTATAATCTAACAGCGCGGTAACATAATGAGAATGTTGTGCTAGTTCTCCACGCTACTTATTCGAAATTTACCTGAAGCCTAGCAAAAAGCTGTCTATGATATTTTACTCTAAACAAGACAAAACGTAAAAATCCCTAACTACAAAAGCGCTGAAATATTTCACAACAGAGAAGGGATCGCTAGAGATCTAGCCGGGGTATGTAACGGATCCGACTACAGGTTCCATGTTCCTTTTTTCATGTTTTATTACAGCTTCACAGAACGTTGTTTACTAATCACTGCTTGGAACTCCACAGCTACACGCCCCCACAAAAATCCCCACGATTAGAAACTTGCCCTATATTTGCATGATTTAGAAACGTATAACCCTACTTCAGTGCTGTGCAAGATAGAAGGGTTAAGGAATTAAGAACTAGGTCTATAAGTTGGGAGGGAAGCACGCGGTTCAAATCCGCCTGCCTTAGAGGCATTAGCCGTAGATGATAAGAATATGTACCCCCCCCCTCCCCCGCCGCGCCATTTTTTGCATTTAAATTGAAACTTTATTCCCCGGGTGGCGGGAGAGGGGAGGCGCATTCGGAAAACCGTTGACGTGGCAAGTGCATCTGTGTCAATAGTTAATTTATAGTTGCGGAATTGGAAGGATCCATTGTCTCTGGTGGCTCAAGGAGACTGGATTAAGATATAAATTAGACGGGGTCAGAAGGGTAAATAAATTCAGTCTGAGAGATTAAATTTATTCACCGCGATCAATTTATATAGCAACAGATAAAACGTTTATTTTTGTGTGATCTCTGTTCGGGATCATATTTTTATTGCCGAGCTCTTAAATGAACACGAACATCTCGTGTAATTAAAACATTCTTAACATCGAAATTTACATATCAACATTCCACACTAAGAAAACTCATTTAGACGGTATGCACACAACGCAGGGCTAGAAGATTTTGGTGCCGCTTTTTCTTAACAACCGGGAACTGGAGTTAAAGCATAAATATAAACATTGAATTTAAAAAAAAAACAATAATATTTCAAAACCTGAACATTTTTGGTTCCATTCTAATAAAAAACGCAAAAACTAAACACTTTTTGGTTTCATTTTGCCAGATCTTGCCCAGGCTCACCGACCTCGTGAGGCCCAGGGCTATAACACCCGGAGCCCTCCTCCCTAAAGTCAGACCTGCTTAATATCCAGAATATCGTTATGTCAACTGTCTTAACAATTTGTGTACTTTTAATTACATAATTGAAGAACGTAGGGACTTGACATTGAAGAACCAACAAGTATACGCAGCCGTGATTAAGCTGGAAGAGGAAATATCAATACAAAGTGGTTATCTGCAGTACCTACCGAGTCTGATAGATAGTTACATGAACAAATAAACTGTTGATTTCAGAGAAGATAATCTCAGGACACAGTTAGAGTGGGGTCTATTAATTGCAAAAAATGCAAAAACTAATCACTTTTTGGTTTCATTTCGCCAGATCTTGCCGAGGCTCTCCGACCTCGTGAGGCCCTGGGCTATAACACCCGGAGCCCTCCTCCCTAAAGCCGGACCTGCTTAATATCCCGAATATCGTTATGTCAAACGGTCTTAACAATTTCTGTACTTAGAGAGAAATAATTAGGGAACATAGGGACTTGAGATTGAAGAACCAACAAGTATACGCAGCCGTGATTAAGCTGGAAGAGGAAATATCAATACAAAGCGGTTATCTGCAGTACCTACCGAGTCTGATAGATAGTTACATGAACAAATAAACTGTTGATTTCAGAGAAGATAATCTCAGGACACAGTTAAAGTGAGGTCTATTAATTGCAGGTATAAACAGGTTAACAAGTTTATAGACAATAAATCTGTTCCGTGTTGGCTTTACTGGCATCCAGCCGGGTTAGTATACACATGGAGTATTCTACAACACTAGCATAGTAAAGAGATTTGCCGAAATAATACCAGATAATATCAACTATTATATTTCATTATGCTCACATAGTTTTTATTAACGTATAATTAAAACTGGTCATTATTTATTAGCTTCGTGTTTAATTGGGTATTTCTTGATTTCGATCGGCTTCTGTGCCTCAGAGAACTGAATAATGCATTGTTAAACCATTACCACTGACACAGATTAGTAAGTTGTCGTGTCATTAGTAAATATAATCCCTTTGTGCTTGCTTTGTTTATCGCAAATACCCTAAATTAGTGCATATATGGCCGTGTACGCCAATATGTTATTCTCCAACATAGTATATAGCAATTAGCCGAAACTCGGCGACACAGTGTTATGACTGAAGCGCGGCAAGGAGCCGAACGACTGGAAAATCGCGTAAATGGCGAAGGCCAGTAAAAAATTAAACTGCCGATTTCCCGCAAAGTATTTAAAAATCGACATATAAGTTTCCACACTAAACCGTTTCTAGTCATTTATAAAACACGGTTTAAATTCTTGTTTATTTTAATAGAAAGTTTAAATTGCTCATTTAATTGTTTTTTAAATCATGTTCAGGAAGTACACAAAAATTCCTCCCTCAAAATAATTCATGAAAACGCACGGAAGCCACGTTGCTACGTCATACCACTCGTTAGGGCGCTAGCCCCCACATGGATGGGTCCCGCATGAAACATGAAAATCTGAATTTTATTAAATCTGTAATCTTCTTTGTGGACAAATTTTATTGGTGACCGCTGTCCCAGGAAATAAAAAAAATATAATTTACGTCCCGGTGGCTATTTTTAAGTGAGCCTTTTGGCGCAAAGTTATCTTTGATTAATTTTTCATTTTACAGGTGGACAACGAACGGTTTTCAGATATTTTCAGATTAATATTAAAGCTACCGACCTGATTTTTTCAGCGCGCGTTTAGCAGTTTACGTCCTTACGGAAAATGTAAAAAACAAGTTACAAATTAATTACTGACTGCTTATGTGTTATAGATAAACATCTAATCTTATTAAATAAATGTAAGAAACGGCGTAGCAAATAATATCCACGTTTGATATACCAATTTATTGTGAATATAAGAATGCGGTACGGGAGCTAAATTCGATTGAATTCGAAAGAATAGAATTCCTGTATACAAATCCGTTTTAGATATTTGTGACGCGACTTTGAAAAATGCTTTATATCGTACAGATACAATATCTCGCGATTGAATCAATTTATTAGCTTCCAATTTTATAGAAATACCATACTAAAATATGGACCATAAAAGGGGAAATACTGATCTCCATTTTTAATAGAATAAAATCCGGGCAGCGTGACGACCGGAAAATTAATTGTTTTATGTTTCATCTATCTAAATCCGTGGTAATCCCTCACCGGCCACATGATAGAAGTCAAAATATGCAGAGAATCTAAAAATTAAAAAGGAAAACTTTCGAGAACTAAAAATATTGTAATTAGAGGATTTTTCAGAATCAAAGTGAATTTATATAGTGCAGGGAATCATATTCGAATAATTCGAATATTCCAATTAGTACTATCTATAACTTCGAATAAGTGTAAATGTAACTATTCGAATAATACTCGAGTTATTTGAATAATTTAACTATTCGAACATTCGAATTATTCGATTAATTTAACTATTCGAATAAATAAATAGTCGAATATGACGTCACGCATAAAGTATATCGTCAGGACAAAATAAGTTGTACGTTATTACCAATTTCACCTCTCTTAAAATACATTTGAACTTTCTACATTTTATAATAGTGTAATATTTTAATTATCTGGATTAATCGAATATTTAACTACATACCACCTAATTTCGAATAATTTCGATGATATTTTCGAATAATTCAAATAATTTGAATATTCGAATAATTCGAATATTGTAATAATTCGAATATATTCGTATAAATACTGAAGTAACTATTCGAATACGAAATTTAAAAAATGTCCCAGCCCTAGAATTTAATCCAAAATAAGTTAGTTTCGCGGTAACTAGTAAGTAAAGAAACAAGTGACGGTCAAATATGTGAAATGGAAACCATGACTGCTGCGATATTTGTAGGTGCAAATTTTTGAGAAATTGGCACTTCTTTTCGGTTGAAACCTAAAAACCAGTCGTTTTTCTACACGTCCTGTGTTAGATTAATCCGCTTTTTAAATAATGAATGAAAATCGAAGCATTATAATACACTCAGAAAAAAAATTAAAGGAGGTGAGTGATTTTTGAAAAGCTGCAACTTCGTGAATAATGGTCGTGTCGAGAAAAAAACAGAAGCATCTTAAAGCTTGAAGATTCTAGGTTTGAAATCTTGACATGAAACAATTTTTTGAGCATCAATCTCGGCGCAATCAGAAGAAATAATGCAAGGCAAAAATTACAATTTTTTTTTCTTTTAAAACAAAATTAAAAATTAAAAGAGTTTGTTGTTTCTTACTGATGTTAATCAGTAAACGATTAAGATGAAACAAATTTTTTTGCCTTATTTTTCTCACAATTTTGCGTGAAATAATCATCAAATATCGAAAAAAAAATTAAAAATTAAAAAAAAAATTAAATTTTTAAAAAAATTTTAAAATCCTTTTGCGACCTCATTTTTACAATTTTACATTGAATGTTTGAAATGTCGAGAATTTTTTTTTTTAATTAAAAAAAAATGAAAATTTAGATTTTTTTTTTTTCGATATATTTGATGAGTATTAACAATTGTTTTCGACATTAGTGTAAGTAAAATTCGCGAGATTTGTTTGATGGCGGTACAATTAGCGAAATGTGCTAATGAAAGCCGGTCGTAATAAAAAAATCACGGTGGGCGATACGGTCCGCCCGGTAGAAAGAAGAATGGAGGAGAATGAAATATATTTAATCTAAAGGGAAATAGTTATGAGTTTTACCTTCTGCAAAAATGGCCTGCAATAGACTGCAAAAAAGGAAAGTTGCTTGCGTAGCTGTCATATTGTGAAGCTGACGGGGGGCACAATGCCTATTTAAGAATCGCATCTTCGATTCCGTTGAATTCTGCACGTATCTGAACCATTCTTGGGACCTGCGAACAAATCACTGGATGAATATAAGCATTTCCACTGCGATAATAAATTCCATCCCGGAGGCCTTGTTTTATAGCGAGAGCGAAATAGGATTTAAGTTTTAAACAGTGGCGCTTCTCGCCTGTATACCCATAATAAGGCAATTTTCAGAAGGCGGATCCACCAACAAAATTCTACTTGCAAACTTCAGTTTTATTTCATTTTTTTTTTTTTTAGTCGAATAATTCGCTCCCGCTTAAAAAAGGTCACAGATGTCTCTTAAAATCCTAAATAAAGCCGGATTAAGCAAATGCGCTCATCTAAACTTAACATACACCGCCAACTTGACTGCTTTGTTCATACGTACGAGTAGGCCACGTTCATAAAAAAAATTAATTAACGACATTTAATTAATTACCTTCGGTTCCTTCCTCATTATTCCTTATTAATGTTTTAATTAAACTAGTCACAAAAAGGATAAAAAGACATCCTAAATTTTTAGGTGGCTTTCAAAAGGATGTAACTGTTGTTACTCTAACTGTAAATTGTTGCTCCAGGTATTTGTTAATTAATTTCGTTCGTTTTTTTGCAACTAATTTATCCAAAGAAACGTATCGAGAAAGTTGAATTTAAGTTACCCCTTACAACTAACAAAACAGCGTTATAACAAATTGTTCCAAGGTCATGCAAAAGCCGCTCGGGAATTCGCTCTTTTTGCGTTAAATAGAGCTTATTTTTACGGTGATTAAAAAAAAACACCTACGCCCCTTTGTTCCTGTTGCTCTCGTACGTTGATAAGTTCATAAGTAGAATAAAAACCAAGGGGAAGACCATCTAGCACATAATACGGTGTATGTTTGCAACAAAAAGAAAGAAATGGTTGGTTGTTGAACTCTTTTCTTCATTATTTTATATAAAAAGTTAAACTTAATATTTTTTTTAACACTGGCAACAATGCGTCGTAAATCTACGCGTGAAGTCAGCGGTTCTCAACAAGTTTGCTGTTAAAATATCCTGCATGTTTACTTTAGACTTTTTTTCGCGAAAAATTAATGAAGTGGTAAGATTTTGTTTAATAAAATAAAATCGTTGTCGTTGTGCTACAATGCATATACAAAAAATATGTAAGGATATAATTTCCTAACGAATAATACCTCGAAAGGATATATTTACTAGTTCCTCGTTTATCACTTATACACAAGTATGCATTATATGCGTTCCTTTATAGCTTGTATGTGTGTTAGACTCTCATCCTGAGTATTACAGCAATCTTAATTACCTACGTCTACCAACGTCTGGAACGTATACGCTTTTGACAAGTCCATGAATGTAAGTTGCTAATTATACTGCGACGAATATATCATCGTTCGATTTAAAGCTAATATAACGCAAAACATGGGTAACGTTTGCGGCATATTTAGAAAAAGAACTTTATTAAGAAGATATGAGAATTACTCGAAAAAAACAGGGGTTCCAAAAATACTACATCCTTTTTTATAACGCCATGTGTATTGATAACGGAACACCTAGAACATTACTGAAACAAAAAGGCACACCCGGCGTGACGAAAAAAGAAAATTGCACTCAAGTGAGAAAAAAACCGTTAACTGTCTCTTTGTATAAAAAGAGGATAACCGTTAATCCTACTTTATATTTTTCCGGTACATTTGCACTACACGGGGCCCGGACCTTCTGAGGGCGCTGTAATTAGTGACAATCTGCTGACGTTCGAAGTGCAAACTTTTACCCTGCAATAACAAAAGCGCCGGTAGTTAATTACTACGTTGACAATAACCGTGTGTACACCCAGAAAAATTTGTGTGGCCACCAAACGGCGAACAGTCGGCGTCGCCAGCGTTCCGTTTTATATTGGTTCAATATATTCCTTTATACTAAAGAACAATTATATTTTTAAACCGTTGTTTTATCATACAAAACTATACTCGAAAAACTACACAAATCTTGCTAAAACAATATATTAACAGCAAATATTAATTTAACGCCTACAACAATGCATTTGGTTGTTGTAAATAAACGTTAATTTATCTCAAGTGAATTATTTCGTTGAAACAAATAAACATTATTGTATCCTTCATTAAATGAAACCAAACAGTGTAGTGAGTAGCGATCCTTAATTATTATGTAACTAGAGTAGACAGCAGCCTGCAACTTTGTTGTAACAATTATATTAAAATACAAGTAAATGTTGTTTTAAATCTTACTATATATTTATTATTCATAAAACTGCACCAAAAATATACTTAGCTCGTACAAATTTCAGCGAGAATAAGATATACTAACCGCAAACATTACTTTAGTAATTACAACGGTGCGTTTTGTTATAAAAAATAAACGATTACTTTATTTCAAACAAATTATGTTACTATTAACTATGGTTAGAGACTTATTTGCGAGATATCAGCCTTGGTGTATTAAGACGTTAATAGGAAAATAAAGTTAGGGCTAGACTAAGATAAATATATTCGTTTAAATTTGAAGCAAGTGGGTAGTTAATTACGCCTGAGTATAACACAATTAATTTGGCAAATTGTTGAAGTGATGGCAGTGTCACTATGGCACTGATTTTCCGCGTTCGCCGCTAAAACAGCGCCGTGAACAGGTTAAATATAACAATAAGGATATGACTCCAATTGTGTGCCAGTTTCCGACGGAATCGAACTGGCGTCGTTGCACGGGAAATTCGATTTTTATGCGTTCTTATGTCTATGTCTGGATAATTTGTAATTTAAGTTGTTCCGATAAACGACTATTGCAGACACGCTTATTTTGCTCCGATTTTCGAGTGCTATATCCTTAGTTATTTCAACCGGAAGTAATTACAGTTCGATAGCGAGCTCCGCGTAAATAGAAAAAAAAAACGTTTTTATAAAATTTCTTCTTATATAAAACGATGTAGAGGTGTGTTAATACGGGTCTATACAGGGGTGTGCATGTTCCTCATGGAAAAATAACAGGGGTAGTTCATGTAAAGTTTTTTTCTTAGACGCCCTATTTTCGAAATACAGTGTGTTGAAGTTGTTACTATCCAAATGGTTTTTCTTAATTATCTCTAAATCGGCTAAAGATAAAAACGTCAAAATTTGTACACGAGTAAACATCAACTGTGCATTAAGAATAACGTGCAAACGGTTTCTTTCTGAAAAGCAGTGTCGCCGATACAGGTAATTGGAAGGGTACAATCGAAAAAAAAATATGTTAAAAGTCAAAATTCCGAGCTATCCCTAATAAATATGTCTATTATTTCGATGTAATATTTAATTTTCTAGTTATTTTGCTGGACCCGAACGTACAATTTGTCGCAATGGAGTGACAGGGGGCTAAATCTTGACGGTACCGCGTAGGCTATGTAAGCCCGGCTTGGAATAATATTTTAGTGGATAAGTTGCTCCGTGGCATTGTTTGTGATTCCGACTCTGCTAACCAGCTAGTGGAGCAGGTGTTAGGGGGGTGTTTCAATCTAGCTTGTATAGAACCCGGCGTGATGTAGCGCCTTCTACTATCAGATATATACTCTATGCACATTATAAACTTTGTTGAATACATTCTAAATAATTTACGCAATATGAATACGAATATGTGGGGTTTATTAAAATGAACGCGTTCTGAATTGCAGTTCCACTAAATTTGTAGAGCGTATCAGAAATTACGGTTATTTTATAGCTTTGCACTTCGTGGCAAATTCCATTTGCCTGCCCGTGAATAACACAGGCGCGACAGAAACCGTACCCACTATTCTTTCGGATACCCCGCTAGTTCACGTCCAAATCCACCAATTACCCCAACAAATTTTAATATTCCATTTAAATACTTACAGAATCAAAAATAATTATAAACACTGGATAGTTTAATTCTGTCGGTTACAACGAGCAAGCTTAATCTTATTTGCCTTCAGCTAAGACCCAATTTTGAGCGACGATTTTAAATTCAATGCACATCGATGCAATCAAGATTTACTAGTAAGATACAGCGGACTGCGATAGTTGACAATGTTTGCGATTGTAACAGATCCAATTTAAAAAATCCAGTATGCAGACGTCACAATTACAATTTGCTTTTATATCTTAAACTATCTTTAACTCGTATTATGCGTCTGACCTCCTAGATTAAGGATGCAGAATCAACCACCGCATTATCTTGTTACGACATTTGAATTGTTTACAAGAACTGTACGGCCCGATGTACGTTGAGGTCGAAAAACAGACAAATTATATAATAAATTCTATATTTGTACCTATAAAGAACAATTTAAATTTCCAATTTCTGTATCTCGAAAAGTAAACGANCGACTCTGCTAACAAGCTAGTGGAGCAGGTGTTAGGGGGGTGTTTCAATCTAGCTTGTATAGAACCCGGCGTGATGTAGCGCCTTCTACTATCAGATATATACTCTATGCACATTATAAACTTTGTTGAATACATTCTAAATAATTTACGCAATATGAATACGAATATGTGGGGTTTATTAAAATGAACGCGTTCTGAATTGCAGTTCCACTAAATTTGTAGAGCGTATCAGAAATTACGGTTATTTTATAGCTTTGCACTTCGTGGCAAATTCCATTTGCCTGCCCGTGAATAACACAGGCGCGACAGAAACCGTACCCACTATTCTTTCGGATACCCCGCTAGTTCACGTCCAAATCCACCAATTACCCCAACAAATTTTAATATTCCATTTAAATACTTACAGAATCAAAAATAATTATAAACACTGGATAGTTTAATTCTGTCGGTTACAACGAGCAAGCTTAATCTTATTTGCCTTCAGCTAAGACCCAATTTTGAGCGACGATTTTAAATTCAATGCACATCGATGCAATCAAGATTTACTAGTAAGATACAGCGGACTGCGATAGTTGACAATGTTTGCGATTGTAACAGATCCAATTTAAAAAATCCAGTATGCAGACGTCACAATTACAATTTGCTTTTATATCTTAAACTATCTTTAACTCGTATTATGCGTCTGACCTCCTAGATTAAGGATGCAGAATCAACCA